TAAATTGGCCAGTGTCCCCACTCACCCGGACCACAGAGCCAGGCTGTCACCCTAAGAGAGGGCTGTGGTAGTTAAAGCAGTTCTGGAGGCTTCATTTTGATCTCATACTATGTCATTTTGGCTCTTGTGTCATCAGAGCTACTTCTGATTTATATCCATGCTCCATAACAAACAGGCTTTAATCACCAGAATCACCGTTATGGCAGCTAAACCTGGCTGAGACTCAGAAATGATGGGGATCTCGCAGTTTCCCATGGAAGGTTCAGGTGATTATAGCCCAGGGAGAAGTTGGCCTGTTGCAGTTCCCAGCAGACCAGCTTCTGGGCTGAGAGTGGAGAATTCAGCATGCAGGAATCAGTATCAAGCCAAAACAGAACACAAAGCTCCTCCTTCAGCCCTCGGTTCAAACCTGTTGCACTTTCCAAAAAAAGAAGTAAAGAGACATCCTGACATTTTTTCACAAAGGCTGTCACAGCAAATCTTGTCAAGGTTTCCAGTCTCAGCATGGACACAAACCCCAAACGCAGACATATGAGGAGAATCATGTATTTCACTGCTCAGCCTCAAATGTTTGGGGTTTTTTTTGTAATGTCACTGATTTAAATGAAAAGGCTCCAGCTTGCCTGGAGATGCTCTGTGATCTCCATTGGACATGTCCAGAGGTAGTTCACAGAGCCTCCCTATCCAGTCCTTTAAATTAGACCAGTGGAGCTGGAAGCGAACTAACAAGTTATTTTCTTAACTGTCTAATACGTCCTTCTGGAAACCAGGCTACAAGTAACACAAGAAGCACTTCTCTCAGAATCCTCACCTGAGGTAGAGCCAGACATTATTTACTTCCAGGTTTGCAGATTTTTAAGTGTTTGGCAGTGCAGAGGTGTAATAGCACAGCATAAATTTAGTTGTCTGCATTCACAGGTACAGCATAACAATTGAGGATATAAAATTCCTTGCCAGGTATCAGAGAAAAATAGAAGATCAAAACAAAGAAAACATCAAAACCTCCCATTATCCATGTCTACTTACTTGTTCATCAGTGACTATTGCGACAGGGCAGAACCAGCCCTGTGCTACTCCTGGGATCGCTCAGGGAAGCCGAGGCATGAAAAGAGGCCAGGAGCACCCCATAACCACAACTTAGCACACACACAGAGTCCTTGAGCTGGGAGCTCCTCAGAGCTAAGGCTGAGACACCTCCAGGAGCTTGGGAGAACTGGAATGAGGCAGATAACACATGGAGTAAAGGACATCCACACCTTGGAGAGAGCGTGGGAAACCATATCCTGGAGAGAGAGACAGTTTCAGGACAAGGAGCCCGGCTGAAACCCGAAGTAAATCAACCTCCCCTGCACAACTGCATTTCACGGCTTCACACTCCCTGGCCCTCACATCATGAGCTGGTGGCTCTGTGCCACCAGGTGTAGGATGCAACGGCTCAAGTTCTGCTTCAGCCTCAGCTCTCTGAAAACGCTAGGAAAATATTTGGACTTGTAGGAAGATCTCTCCCCACTGCACTCTCGGGGCATTTCCGCAAACCTTGACTCCAGGAACCTGTTGTCAATTGGGCTTTTACACGCCTGCTGCTTTCTGTGAAGGGGGAACAGCTGGAACGTGGCAAGAATGGCCAAGTCTTCAGCTGATCTCCTCCATCAGAATACCTAATGGGACTTCAAGAAATAAAAATCTGTAGTACCAAAGCTGTGAGAAAACCAAATCAAGCCAAAACAGAACAAAAATTTCAACTGGAAATATTCCTGTTACAACACTGACAGCACATAATTTAGTACAAGAAGATGAGGTATGTTTCACTGAGAAATTTCCCTTACTTATTAGATTATGACCTATTAAAGAGTCACAGACACTGGAAGAGGGCTTGCGGCTTTGGACATTTAAGATGAAGCTGGGTAGAGTGCAAGGGAATATCCTGGAGGGAGCAGACCTGCACCAACAGGAAGATGGATGAGGTATTGCTGCTCTGATATTTTCCATCTCTCATTTCTAGAGCTCTATGAAATATTCATAGTGGCAGCACTGCCATGCTCTACCCTTAATGCTCCGGTCTGCTAATGCCAGACAATCTTTCTGCCGCGCTTCAAACCATATTCTGTGCTAATAAACTTGCCAATGAATCAATCAAATCCTGTTCTGAGGTTAATCCTTTGATCATTATTAGGAGTAGAGATTTGTCGCAGTATGCTACAAAAATGTCACAGCATAGTGATGAAAAAGAAATTTACAAAGTATATACGTTAAACCAGTTATAATCAAAAGCCATAGGTCACATTATTTTAATCAAAACATCTATTTTCTCTTGCACTTTCTGTCATTAAATTACCTGGAGCTACTCTGGGTGCTCACCTAGGACACGGAGGTTCAGCAGTGCAGGCAGGGAGTGTGCTGGGGACCCACGATCACCCACAGCTCTGAGGGAGGGGTGGCCTGCTGGGTCCCGCCATGCACGTTCAGTGAGACACTAAGCAGTAATTTCCACTCCTCCTGAAGTAGTTTGTGCCCAGGTAGGAAATTTAATCAAAATCTTGTGCAGGCATAGAAAATCTTCAGGTCTGGAGTGGCGTAAGCGTCTAGAAGAGAGGAAGGAATGAGGGGCCTTGGGCTACTCCCATCAGTTCTCTTTTAGACCAGCAGCAGCAGCAGAAAATTCAGGTGTTTCTGCTCTAGGTCAACTCTTGAGTGTCTGCCCGCTACCACAGGCTAGATCTTTGCCGGGAATGGTCAGCACAGCCCAGGGCCACTGTCCTGCCTGCTCTATGGAATATCTTCAATGTATGACTCCATAAGCTGGGGGTTTTTTATTTTCAAATTAATTTTCCTTTAGAGTTCTTCAGAAATGCTAAGTTGAAACTGTGTTAGATCCTCCCTCAAATCTTTTCTTCGTGTCAGAATGAACTTCAGGCAGCATCTTCAGAATGAAGGAACTGTTGGACTTAAGCTGGGGTCAAGAGCAAAAAAGAAGACTAAAAGCCAGCCTGGTAGACAGGCTGATCATCAGCTAGAGGTTGAATGAAGGGCTTCTGGGTTGTCAGTAGTAAAACTGCACTTTCTCTTAGACTGCCTAATTGTCCCTAATCAAGGTATTACCCCCAAGGGAAAATTTGTATAAAGGTCTCTCATCAGTTTTCTCCTCTATGGCTGAACTGAACTCCTGCTCCCACTATGATCACTTTGATCCAATCCAAGTGAGATCTGAACTACCAGATTTGTATTTACAGAGAGTCAATTACCCATCTAACTGCGAGCATATGCGTGCCACTTAAGATGAAGAGGTACTTCATCAGTTCCATTTTTGCATGTGTAAATTAGCAATAATAATATATTCACCTATCTCACGAGGCTGCTGTGCAGATTAAAGCATTAATGTTTGTACAGCACTTGGAGGTTCTCCAATGGGAAATTCTGTAGATGTGCAAAATATTGAGTTTCGTCTATGATAAATTTATTTAATAGCTTAATAGTATTCCACTTTCATTATGAAAAGCATAATCATCTTGAGATTTTCCTGTTTGCCACCTGAAAACAGACACTGTATCTGGTTTGAAGATGCATTTTTCTCCCTCTGATTTCTTCCCAGTGTTCATACATACCCAAGTGCGGCAAGAATTATGAGGAATCCATGTCAATGGTGAACGTCGTGATGGAAAACTTCAGAAAATACCAACGCTTCTCCTGCTTCTATGACCCTGAGGGTGTTCAGAAGAATGTGATATTAACCAAACTGTACAGCTCCAATGTGCTGTTCCACTCTCTCTTCTGGCCCACCTGCATGATGATCGGCGGGGTCGCCATCGTTGCGATGGTGAAGCTGACTCAATACCTTTCCCTCCTCTGTGAGAGAATCCAAAGGATCAACAGATAAAAGAAACAAACCCAAAAAACTTCTGAGATTCAATTACAATGAAAATACTGTTTTCTCATTCTTCACCAAAGAACCTTAAGTTTGTAATGTGCAAGTCTGTTATAAGTTCCTTACTATGTTCTTATAAGTAGAGCAATAATGCAAAAGCTGTTCTATATGCAAACATGATGTTATTATTATGCAGACAACTGAAAAAAATACTGTTTTGTGTTGACCGTCTATATGATCCTGTTTTATGCTGAAACTAGTACTTTTTGTTTTCTACAGCCAAAATAGGGCTCAGTGTGACCATTTGTCAAGCTTTGTCAATTGATGTTTTTAATGTAAAGGATTCTGGGGAAAATTCACCGCTGGACAAAGGGCAGTCGATCACTTGTGCATCACTGAGGTCTCATCTCTGGATCAGTCCATTCAATGGATTTGTGGCTTTGCGCTTTTACTATTGGTTACAAGGAGAAAAAAGGAAAAAAAAAAACCAACAATGACAACAAAAGAAAAAGAGTTTGAGAGGGTGTTTTATGGCAAGATGGCACAAAATGCATGCATTTTGAGGCCAGGATAAGCATACAGTATTTTCAGCCTCAGTAGGATTTGGTGATGCTTTGTGTTTGCTCCCCGAGTTCAGAAGTAAATTTTACCCTGTGATGTTTAAGGCCACTTGGAGTCTTACTTTATTTAGTGCTATAATTTCCTTCATCTTACCAACATCATCTTTGTCACTTGCAGAAGCTGTAGCCAAAAAAAAAAAAAATAATATTGTTCCATTTTCTATTCTAGTATGAGCCCTATTCATGGAGATGGGACCAGAACTCCTTATGTAAAGGTTTATTACTCATTTGTCTTGTATTTGCTACCATGTCACTGTAAAGAAAAAAATATAACACAATCAGCTATTTTTTCATTTTTTACTTCCAACTATTTTAGATTTTTTTACTTGATATATATACAGATATATATATATATAAAGAAAAAGTTATATTATATCTAGTTGTGTATTGGAACTTGATTATGGGATTGGTTTTTCTTTGTTTTTACCCGCTGAAAAGTGAACAGTATAATTCATGTATTTATAACCTTCATCTTTGGATGATATCATAACATGGATGAGCAGCACTGCAGGATCTTATCCAATATTCATGATGTTGTTTCAGTCAAAGGTCTCTGTTGCTGTGACATCGGAATTGACAAAAAGCTCATCCAGTTCTATGTCTCTATTAACTGAATTGTTAGATAATCATCTTAATACATCTGGAAATGTCTCCTGACCTCACCTGGGTGTGCAGTGCTGGCTGACACGAATTATGATTTAAAAGGCCCAGGTGCAATGATTTATTGGAAAAACTGAGGTTGACTAAGATGTCCTATCTGTTAAATATTTACCGCAGGGATCTTGCCAGCATAATTTCATGCACACTATAGTCACAATTTCTGCATAATTTATTTTTATTCCCCTTCATTCTTTCTTAACGTTTTAAAGACACCTCTCACAGTTTCTCCCTTTGCACCCAAACTGAAGGACAAATGCAAGGCAGCTCCTGTGAGCACCCGGTGAACTCACTATCCAATAGATCAAAGAAACCATTTACAGGCCTATTTAAACCAAGAAACTAACTCTTTTCCCCTCAGAAAGACTGCAAATCAAGTATTCTGCCTTGTTCACAGCTATATATAAGTACCTTTCTGCAATGTAGCATTAAAAATTTCAAGATGTTACAAAACTTCACAAGTTATGCAAGTGTAATATGAGCTGTTAAAAAAAAAAGTCTCGGCAGTGAAAATGAACCTGCAATCTTGTAATCAGTAGTATAATTTTCCTTAGGTAAATAAATTCCTGGAGGGTGGGGGTATAATCAGGGCTCCAAAAATACATAATAAAAATATTAAATTAAACCTTCTAGATTTCAATATCTTCTGCCTTCAGATCTGGCTGGTTTCATCAGATTTTCTTTGTTTGTTCTTTCACCAAGAAATGAGGAGTGCTGGTGCAACGGGGAATTCATAATGATTTATTTGCAAAAACATGGTTTTTAACCGCTCTGTGGGATTTGCAGAAACTGTCATCAGCGAATCCAGGCACCCTTGGCATTCGCGAGACTGGAGTCACAAACTCTTTGGTGGACTGAGAGCAACCTTTATCGAAGCACCAGCAGAGAGCGTGACTGCCCTCCCATGCCAGCATAGTTGGGGGGACAGACATGGGGGACCCCCATCCTGCTGCACCCCACGCTCTGCTGCACAGGCACAGGACTCTCCACGGTTTTGGTGGTGTCACCGTGCAGGGACATGGGGATTCCTCGCCCGGTACCCACAGCATGAAGGGCTGCAGATGTTAATTATTGCCACAAAACCTTATTCTGCAGGTTTTGCTGAGGAGAGAGGTGTCGAGGTGGAGTCCCCTGAGCCTTACAGCTGAAGAGGAATAATGATCCCTTTCTAGATGGCCCAAGCAGTTTCAGGATACATCTCCATCTTTATAAATTTGATTTCATCCTCAGAGAGGTTTGATCTCTGTGCAGTCTTGCCATCCTCCATCACCCCACATCCATCTCCCCACCATCACCTTGGTGGCTGGTGCCAAAGGAAGAACCGTGTTGCTGATGGCAATTCACAAATCAGAAGTGATACACAGCATCACCAAAGAGCTGTGGTGGCTTTTTTACACCATTACTGTTTACATGACGATGAAGTAGCTCTTTGGTTGTGCGTGTGACATTTTCGGCACCTGCTTTTGTGCGTTTTGGTTCTGGTGACAGGGAAGCTGATTGTCCCTGACATTTAGACATCAAACACTGCTTTCAACACGTTGCACCATAAACATTTCACCGCTCCTGTGGGTGAAACATCTTGACGCTGTTGCAGTCTGTAATCATTTTGTTGACATTAACGGAGAGATCTGTGGAGCAGCAAAACAACTTGAGTAATTGGATGGAGTGAGGTAAAACAATAATTTTAAAGGGAATTATCCATCTGATCGTTTCACACAGTTAATCCCCTACTGAAGCGTGACCATTGCAAAAGAAATTTTTGACAACTGCTGCCCCAAAGAGAGGTCGTGTTTCAGTGGGGGTGTTTGTCCGTGCTATTTCTTTCTCTACTTTCATTTTAATATCACATTTATCCCCTGCAAAAGGAACTGATGTTCCTGTAGGCATCTCGAATGAAATACCTGGTAGTGAAATTCAGTGACTGGGCGAATCTGTCCTGTTTCTGAGACTGGTGCTGACTCTTCCCAGCACAAACATTTCACCTCTTGATGTCCCAGCTGGGCACTGGGGACAGCAGGGAACACCCGGTGCTGCAAAACCCCAAAATGGAAAGGAGTAACGTGAAAATGGCAGTGTAGTGTTCACAGGCATTATGAGCCTATGAGAGGCCCTCTTGTGGGATTTAAAGCATGCATAAGTAGTAAATTCACATGGCCTTTTAATAGTTATTTTCTTAATTAGATTATTTATGTCAGGTCTTATTTCTATTCTGGAACATCTAAATCAGAATTTGAAGTGTCAACATCCCTGCTCTAACACTCTGAAACATGGCATCTTGCAGGAGACTTAGTAAATGTCACCAGGTAGGACAACAGAGAGTTTAGTTTGATCCAGATTTTCTAACTAAGAAGGCACCACTTTATTTCAGAAAACATACCCAGAACACAAGTGTGCCCAACTCCGGTGTGACTTGGAGGCGAATAGAGAAAGGAGGCAGGGCTCAGGAAGCACAAGGGCCTGCTCATCAGGAAGACAAACGCCGTGATTTCAAACCTCACAGACATAAAGGGAACGAAGTCCTAAACTCCGAAGACAAGGCTGGGGGTGCTGCTGGCTTTGCCTCCTCACCCTCATCCCCAGCCACAGAAAAGTTCAGTGGAAGAAGCTGCTGAGAAAAGGCTGGCTGGTACAAGCTCAGTCCAAGCAGACTTCTGCACTTGTCTGAGTATGAAAGCTGTGACCTTACAGCAATACAGCTCTACTAGTATGACCTCCAAAGGAAATAGCAATTTGAAGGTAATACCACCTTAAAAATTGCTCAGCTAATTTCCCTTCTCGTACAGTCATGCCCTTAATTAAAATAGCTGCAGCCATTCAAGTGGACTGAACCAGTATCTTTGCAGCAAGACAATTTTTCCACAGACTCAGCGTTTGAGCACAGTGGTGTCAGCTCTCCATTAGCCACTGTACTGTTTATCATCTATCACAGATTTGGGGAAAAAACACCTTCAACTTTTCTGCTCCAATGAACATTCATCATTTTCCAGCACTTGATTTTGCAGAAAGAAACCAGGCGCAGTTTGTGGTGTACCCAAACATCTCGCAACTGAATACAAACTTTGCCAAATTGGTTTTCGTTGTGCAGCAAAGAGTGAAAAGGAAGGGTAAACACCAATTATTTTGTTTCAGTGTTTTGAAAACAAGATGTTTCCATTTTTCAATTTGAATTGATGTTGCCTTTCAAAAGCCAGGGGTGGGGGTGGGCTTGTTCTTAGGAAAGCTTGAAAAATATAATAGTTCCTCTGACATGAAGCAAAACTATCCGCAACTGTTTAGTTTGATATTTTGAGCATTTAAGGTTTTCCTGAGGCTGACAAGCAATACATTTCCTTTCTTCCACTTTTCTCACCCATCAGCAAAGTGCAGAATCAGTCTCACAGATGTAACCAGCTCTGGGATCCAGCCAGGCTTGGGTGACCGTCACCTCCGAGAACATCACTGTTCATATCTATGAGTAAAGCACAGCACAGCAGCTACCTCAGACTATAATGGCTACTAAATTAGGAGGCACCTCATATTACACAAAAGATGTTTTAATCCTTCAAAATTATCTGAAAAAGAAACAAAATTTGGAAATCCTGCCAGGTGAATTCACACCAGACTTTAGATGAATTAAGTTTCTCTGGACACTCAAAAAATGTGTTAATATTAGCAGAATCCTCCATACAAGCCTGTCTACTTTTTATAGTCCTCTGTTTCAGTACAGAGAGCTGGTAGGTGAGTATATATTTTTATCTGAACTACATTTATTCAGGTGAGAATTTAGCATGTTTCATTGCCAAGTGATTTTATTGTAACGTAGAGGGAATAAGAGATGCTTATTCTAAAGTACTCTTCAAGCTCTCTCTGTCCAGCAATACCATTTCCAGGCAGAAGAGCAGCAAATGGCTCATAAAACCGATAAGCAGACATGGGGAATCAAGTTTCTCATCCAAAATACAGAAAAGGTTTGTTTACTTTTGGAAGGTAAAGAAAAGCAGGTGAGATGTAGAAACATTTCCAGGAGTCAGGCAGGTCAGATTTAGGGAAGCAGGTATGTTCACCCCCTCTGGTACAGTTCAACAGGATCAGCCACTGCTACAGGTTGCAAAATTAAAAAAAAAAATTTTTTTTCCAGGAATGTCCTCCAAGAAAAATGTTAGAAAACTGACAAAACACTGGTGTTGTCATCCAGTTCACCACAAACTAGCTTCATTTTTAAA